AAGTGACCCCCAGGGATGTGTTCTGAGCACAACACTTTTTCTCCTTGCTATTAATGATTTGGCCTCTAGTCTTCCAGCAAATATTTGGTCATCACTCTATGTTGATGACTTCGCTATTGCCTGTGCAGGTGCTGACTGTCACCTCATTACAGTTTCTCTCCAGCATGCGGTCAACCATGTTTCCAATTGGGCCACCACACATAGGTTTAAATTTTCCAGCACTAAAACCCACCAAATTACTTTCACTAGACGCTCTGTCATCTCCGATCATCCTTTGTACCTCTATGGCTCCCGTATCCCTGAATGTGATACAATCAAGTTTCTGGGCCTCCTCTTTGACTGTAGGTTATCCTGGAAACCTCACATTACCTCTCTGAAGGCAACTTGTCACAGCCGGCTGAACCTTCTTAAAACCCTTGCTCATCTTTCATGGGGAGCTGATCGTCGAACCCTCCTTCGCCTACATTCCACCCTCCTTTTATCAAAACTTGATTATGGTGACCAGATCTATTCAGCGGCATCTCCTGCTACTCTCTCTAGCCTTAACCCCATTCATCACCAAGGATTACGTTTATGCCTTGGTGCTTTTCGTTCTTCCCCTGTTGAGAGCCTCTATGCAGAAGCGAACGTTCCATCCTTATCCGATCACCGTGATGCCCATTGCCTTCGCTACTATGTACGCTCTCATGATCTCCGCAATCCTTCCATTTATAGAATGGTCATTGATATTAGTAGACATTCTTTATTTGTTCGCCGCCCCTGTTTACTCCGTCCCTTCTCTCTTGGCCTTCATTCGCTCTTGTTTTCTCTTCAATTACCACCTTTCTATGTTCATGTAGCATCTCACTTTTCCCTACCCCTCTGGGAAGTTCCAGCTGCTCGAGTCTGTTCTTTCTCTCTCCCTTGTTCGAAAGCCCAGCTGTCTACGGTCGCTTCCCACTCTCTTTTTCTTGACCACTTCCACTCTCATTCTCATGCCATTGCTGTGTACACAGATGGCTCTAAGTCTTCTGACGGCGTAGGATTCGCAGCAGTGTTTCCGGACAGCGTCGTACGAGGGCATTTACTATCTTCGGCTAGTATTTTTACTGCTGAATTGTATGCCATCCTTGCAGCACTTATCCGTATTGCATCCAGGGCCAGATTAAGAAGTCTCTGGACCCTAGGCTATTCAGATTGGCGGGGCCCCTTTGAGTTACGGGTAAGCGAAGCATCCCCTTCCAGCTTGGGGGTGGGGGGGGTCGGTGTGAGCCTGTTTAAGGTCTAATTAAATACATTCTGGCTATTTAGATTAAATTTAATAGGGAAAGTACATCAAGACAACCAAAACCATTTACCAACAGCCATTATAACTATCTTGTTAAATCATGCATTTTAAAGAGAATAAACTCAAGACAGCATAGTATTACTAGATTAGGCTATTAAAGTAGTGACATCATGTACCTATTATATTCAGCATAACCACTACAGCACTATTATTCCCTTTATAAATCACTGACCATTATTGTTATCATTGCATCATGCATAAGACTATCAAATCATATAAACTCAAGTAAGTAAAGAATTGTTTATATTCACAGGCACTTCTTAAATAAACTTTTTTCTGGATTTCATATTGGCAAAATCATCATTATATTCTGAAAATCAATATTTCTTGTTAGATCAGACTCAATGGTCAACAAGGCTAGGTTACACAATTTGTCTTGGCTCATTGTTGAACAGAGCTGGTTTTTCACTCTTTTCAAAACAGAAAATGAACGTTCTCCTTCACAGTTTAGTAGCTGGAAGTGTTAGGTAAAGGCGATACACTATGTCAACATTAGGGAAGGTTTCTGAGATACCTGCATTTCTTAAATGTTTCAAAGCAGCTGAGGGCGCACATTTTTCAGGTGGAGCTTTAATCTGATTCATATACCCAGAAAAATGAACTATTTCTTCAACAAATGTGTCCTGAACATCTGATGAAAGGTGTTGTTGCAACTTTAATGCAGCTTCTCTCAATTCTGCATCTGGCATAGTAGTAATTTTGAACAGAAATCCAAACTTGTCATTGAGATTCTGGTAGATTTCTTTTCACCAATTCTGTAATCAGTGAATCCAGAATGACGAAGTATGTAGCTGTCTTACATTTCTGCCTTGGTAGCAACACAATTTCATTGTCTGGCTCTTCAAAATTGCGTTTCCTCTTCCTTGACCGCTGATGATCAACCCGGTAACTGTAGTCTTTCACCAGCAGTTTAGCTTTCTCTTCAAACATTTCAAAAGCTTCATCATTGCGAAGTGAGCTTACAAATTCCACTAAGCCTGCATAGAGGTTAGCACAAGTAGCCATTTCAATTTCAATTTTCTGAAGTGTCTTGTTCGTGGCATTTAACCGTTCCAGTATACAGTCCCAAAGCACACAGAGTAAGGCCAATTCAAGATCTTCCAATTTTGATGCTAAGCTGGCTGCTTTGCTTCTTGTACTTGCTGTCTGGTCTTCATCCTCTGCTATTTGGATCAAAGCAGAACGTATTTCAGCAAAGCTGTCTTTCAAAGGTTAGGTTTATTTATTTTTATTTTATTTTATTTCATTATTTATTTTTCTTTTGATTAATTTTTAAAAATCAATTTTACTCTCCAAACACTTGAACCTTTTAGGTAGGGACCCCTTTGCACTTGCATCATGTGCGCAGTCTTGGATGAGCCCCTGAACCCCTTGGACCGCGGGGCCCCCAAATGCACGGGGCCCTAGGCAAATGCCTAGTTTGCCTATGCGGTAATCCGGCCCTGATTTCATCTATGCCTGTGTCATCATTTGTGGTTGTCTCAGACTCCCTTAGTGCTTTACAGGCTATACAGAAATTTGATACACCTCACCCCTTAGTCCTCCGTATCCAACTTTGGCTACGCCGCATCTTTACCAAGCATAAAGATATTGTTTTTTGTTGGGTCCCTGGTCATGTTGACGTACAGGGCAATGAACAGGCAGACACTGCTGCGCGGTCAGCAGTACATGACCTACCAGTTTCATATAGAGGTATTCCATTTATGGACTATTTTGCTGCAATATCTTCCCACCTTCACACCCGTTGGCAACAACGTTGGTCAAACCTACTCGGTAACAAACTTCAATCATAAACCGCAGTATAGGTTACTGGCCGTCTTCTTATCACCAGTGTCGAGGTTGGGAGACTGCTCTCCCCCGTCTTCACTTTGGGCCCCATACTCGTCTTACTCATGGATATCTCATGGAGAGGCGCCATGCCCCTCTCTGTGAAATTGCAAGGCTCCATTACTAGTCACCCACATTTTTTTGGAATGCCCACTTTATCAACAAAGCACGCAGAATTTATCTCCATCGTCGTCTTCGCTCCACTGCTCTCTCTTTCCCTTTCCCTGCTCGCTGATGGACCCACCTTTCATCCAGACTCTCTCATTGGCTTTTTGACAACAACTGACTTGCTTCACAAATTCTGATACCTTCAGCCCTTTCTACCTCAATCTCTTGCTACCCTCTACCCCCACACTATCCCCTGCCCCGCTGTTTTCTGTAACCTACTGATCATCCCTCCTCCCTTCTGCCGCCCAATACCCTTGCTTCCTTCCCTACCCTGCAGTGCTGTATAGCCCTTGTGGCTTAGCGCTTCTTTTCGATTATAATAATAATAATTGCAACAAGGCTAGTTCCAGAGCTGAGGAGAATGTCCTATGAAGAAAGGTTAAGGGATATCAGTGTTACGACACTGGAGTACAGGAGGGCCAGGGGAGACATGATAATGACATAAAAAATATTGTGTGGAATAGACAAGGTGGACAGAGACAGGATGTTCCAGAGATAGCACACAGAAACAAGGGGTCACAATTGGAAGCTGAGACTCAGATGAGTCAGAGGGATGTTAGGAAGTATTTCTTCAGTTATAGAGTTGTTAGGAAGTGAAATAGTCTGGCAAGTGATGTAGTGGAGGCAGGAACTATACATAGTTTTAAGACAAGGTATGATAAAGCTCATGAAGCAGAGAGAGGGAGGACCCAGTAGCGGTCAGTGAAGAGGCAGGGCCAGGAGCTGAGTCTCGACCCCTGCAACCACAATTAGGTGAGTACAGTTAGGTGAGTATTGTCTTGCTTACTCTTTTGTTCACTGTCTTGGTCACTGTCTTGCTCACTGTCTTGGTCACTGTCTTGCTCACTGTCCTGCTCACTGTCTTGCTCACTGTCTTGATCAATGTCTTGCTCACTGTCTTCCTTATTGTCTTGGTCACTGTCCTGCTCACTGTCTTGCTCACTGTCTTGCTCTCTCTTTTGCTTGCTGTCTGTCTTTCTCACTGTCTTGCTGTCTTTCTCACTGTCTTGCTCACTGTCTTGCTCACTGACTTGCTTGCTGTCTTGCTCACTGTCTTGCTCACTGTCTTGCTCACTGTCTTGCTCACTAACTTGCTCACAGTCTTTTTCTCTGTCTTGCTCGCTGTCTTGCTCACTCTCTTGGTCACTCTCCTGCCTACTGGAAGGCTGTTTCTTATTTTAGTCTTTGTAAATAGTTTCTCCTGTCAGAAATGCAAGTTACTTGTTCATAAGTAATAATTGGTTTCAAAGTGTCCAGTGATGTACTTAATTATTCTTATTATTATTATTATTATTATTATTATTATTATTATTATTATTATTATTATTATTATTATTGTAATCAGAGAAAGTGTAAACTGACAGGGGTCATAGAGCGGTGTGGGGCAGTATGTAGTGCGATGGTTATAATCAGCTAGGTGGAGATGGGATCAGAGGTGAGGGAAGAAAAGGGATGGAAGGGACGCTAAGTGCTATGTGTCAAAGTTTGTATAATGTTGTAAGTGGAGCTTCTTTGTACTATCTATATATTTAACAAAATTATCTTAATTTCTCATTTTCATGGGGTTGAGAAGCATTTGCTCAGAGAAGATAAAGATTAATATGGCTTTGCAAAAGTATTAGAAATACAAAATTAAACAAGAAATTAAAATTTGTTCTTATTACAAACTGTTTTCCAGAGAGAACCAGTACTACTACATTCAAGCCAAGAATTTTCCAAAGTTTTGTGTTACATGTTATAGAGTCCTGCTGCAGCACTGCAAACAACCAGTACCACCACATTTAAGTCAAACATCTACAATAATTTAGCAACTGCTCCATGAGACTTGACATAAAAGTGCTTTTCATTAATTGTTATGAACCTACTGGTACTTACAAATTGCTTCTATTCATTCTTGTTCACTAAAATTTCTTGTACTTTATCCCACTTATTACATGGTTGTGCTTAAACAAAATGAATTCTTTGAATTGTTTTAAAAGTTTGTGTGAGTAAAAGTTTGAATAAAAATAATGTTTGTATTTATTTGCCAATACATCTACTCTTCAGTATCAAGTGTTTTTATTAGTAATTCCTCAATGTAACAGAGTAATTGAGGATAGAGGGTGGCTAATAATGGTTATTGTGATGGATAAACAAGAGATTATTTTACTGTGATGCTAACAATAACTGATACCTGTATATTTAATAAACTTGGACCATTGTTTCTGAATTGACTGACCCAGTGGATTTTCTGCTTTTTTTTAAACTCCATTGTATGGAACTCTGTTATGTCGAGGGTTTGCCAATTCATATAAAAAATATTGCATCATATTTAAGGATAATAACGGGACTTCAGCTAAATATATTCATTAAAATTATGGAAGTTCAAATGGGTGAGGAATTCTACCAGTGTTCAATATGTCAAAAAGATTTTACAACGAAATCATCTCTGGTACAGCATACGAGAATTCATACAGGTGAGAAACCATATCAGTGCTCACAGTGCCCAAAAGAATTTTCACAGAGAGCAAGTTTAGTACGTCATATGCAAGTTCATACAGGGGAGAAGCCATTTAAATGTTCAGTGTGTTTAAAAAACTTTTCTGAGAAAGCAAGTGTAGTTCAACACATGAGGCTTCATACAGGAGAGAAGCCATATAAATGTTCAGTGTGTTTAAAGAACTTTGCCTATCGATCAAGTGTATCTCAGCATATGAGAGTTCATACAGGGGAGAAACCATTTAAATGTTTAGTTTGTCTTAAAGATTTCACACAGAATAAACATCTTGTGCAGCATATGAGAACTCATACAGGAGAAAGACCATATAAATGTTCAGATTGTCTAAAAGACTTTACATATAAAACTGCTCTAGTTCAGCATATTAGAATTCACACAGGAGAGAAGCCTTATCAATGTTCAGAGTGTCAAAAAGATTTTTCACATAAATCAGATCTAGTAAAACATATGAGAAGTCACACAAAAGAGAAACTTTATCATTGTTCATTGTGTCCAAAAGGCTTTTCGTATAAAAATTCTCTCACACAACATATGAAGGTTCATACAGGAGAGAGACCATATTCATGTTTAGTTTGTCTAAAAGATTTTTCAAGAAAACATCATCTAGTAAAACATATGAATCTTCATTTAGGAGAAAAGCCATATTCATGTTCAGTGTGTTTAAAAAGCTTTCCACAAAAGCAAAATATAATACAACATATGAGAGTTCATACTGGAGAAAAGCCAAATCAGTGTGCAGTGTGTCTAAAAGAATTCAAACAGAATTCATACTTGGTAAAGCATTTAAAACTTCATAAAAGAAAAAAATTGTAGATATTCAGCATTTATGATTTAGACTTCAGGAGAGATATACAGTGGACCCCCAGTTTACGATCAGCTCCCAATGCAACCAATTATGTAAGTGTATTTATGTAAGTGCGTTTGTATGTGTATGTTTGGGGATCTGAAATGGACTAATCTAATTCACAATATTCCTTATGGGAACAAATTTGTTCAGTAATGGCACCTGAACATATTTCTGGAATGAAATAATATCGTAGACCGGGGGTCCACTGTATTGTTAATGAGCTATAAAGGACCTATATTTCTCATGTAATTTGAGTGAACTCATTGTCAGATGTGAGTCCATTACAGTATGCTAAATGACATCAGTGTTGGTATACAAAAAAAGATCTGAACTAAAAACTTTCACTCCTACATAGATAATTGGTTTATGGGCTTCTAAGGGTCCACTTTAGCTATACTTGTCCTTATGATTAAAATGCTATTCTTTGGAAAGGAAATAATAATAAAAGAAATATGACAATGTGCTCTGTGAAAGACTTCATGTGAGCTTACAGCTACCCAATGACCAACACTGGTTGCTCTCACTAGGAAATTACAGTGGACCCCCGGTTTACGGTATTATTTCATTCCAGAAGTATGTTCAGGTGCCAGTACTGAACGAATTTGTTCCCATAAGGAATATTGTGAATTAGATTAGTCCATTTCAGATCCCCAAACATACACATACAAACGCACTTACATAAATACACTTACATAATTGGTCGCATTGGGAGCTGATCGTAAACCGAGGGTCCACTGTACTTCTATTGCTGATCTTATCCTTCTAATAATTTTAATCAACTTTTTTGTAGCTACTGTAAATGAATAATATATTAGACACTCAAGGGGAATTAAAACTCAACAGTTTTATATCATATTCTGTTGCTTGCCTATATACACAATTCACTAGAATTTTTTAAATTCATCATCCTGCATTTCATCGTAGAATAGATGTTTATGATCCAGTTGCATTATTTATTGCTGCTTGTATTATCTTAAACATATTAAATAAATTTTATCCACTGATAGCTGGTTCTTTACGTACCAGGTGAGAGGATTACCGTTTTCACTTGTCGTGGCCATTTGTGGTGGGCTTTGACATTTCGAGACCAAACTAATCATTGCCCTGTGCACTTGCCATGCACAGTAACCAGTAAATTCCTTCTTTTCCCTTGCATGAGAGTTGAGATGATCAATGGAGTTAGAGTCCTTGGGTGATCAACATGCTTCTTTGGTAAGGTAATAGAGTTGAAGTGGGTGGATTTATGCTGGCACTTCTTGAATCAGTCAACTGATTGTGCATTGTTGTGCACTGTCTGGTGGGGTGATATACAGTGGACCCTCAGGTAGCAGCAGCATCGGTTAACTCCAAAATCAGATAGTGGCACATTTTTGCGTCAAAATATTGGCTTGGCTAACACCCAAGAACTCGGTTAAGGACGTTCGTCCCGAACGTGTCCATGCGGCCTGAGCCTATGTACAGCCAGTGTGCCATTGTTTAACCCGTAAACGGTCCAAGCAGATCTATGTTCACGTGTAGTGCTACAAAAGTAGATTACGTTTTTTTTTTACATATTTTCAAATATAACAAAAAAATAGATCAAATTTTTTTTTACACATTTTCAAATGTAAAAAAAAAACAAAAAGAAGATCTACTTTTTTTACATACTTTCAAATGTTGAAAAAACGTATATATACGTTTGGACCGTTTACGGGTTAAAAGCCAGAGAGGACAATTCCACATGTACATGCGGTATATTTTGTATTGTTCCATTGTTTTTAGTGTTGTAACTGCTAAATAAGCCACCATGGGCCCAAAGAAAGCTTCTAGTGCCAGCCCTGTGGTAAAGAAGGAAAGAAATGCAAAAGAATTAAAGAAAAAAGTCGTAGCAAAGTACCAAACTGGAAGAGGAAGAGAGAGGGGAGAATGTGCCTTCTGCAGTGATTCAGTGATTCTACGATATGTACGATACTAAAGCAGCACGTATCAATAAAGGCTATTGTGCCAGCCAGGGATAAAGTGTAGAATTAACAGTGTAGCAAGTAAGTTAAGCGAGTAAGCGATAGAAAATGACACAAAAGTAACTCTCCAATATTGTTTATTATGTCATATTAGATGAATTGTAATAGATAAATAAGCCGTAGAGATGATATTAGTGTCATATTGAAGCATAATAAACTCGTCTCCTTCTCGCCTCCTACCTGTCTGGCATACATCAACAAGATTCAGTTCTTGTGTATCTATTAGCCTTGGGATTATTTATTTGAATAAATTAGTAAGCCTTCCCTTGATGGATTCGTTGGTGAATGGGGAATAGGGAGCTTTAGGTGATTCGTATTACAGGTTGGCCATCACTAATCTAGCAATCAGTTATCCAGTTCCATCAGTAATCTGGCACTAATTTCGGCTAGCATAATTTCAAATTTCAAATTATACTCACTCAAATTTCATCATTATACTGACTCAGAAATTGTGCAGATGGATGTAAGTCCACAGCAGCAAGCCAGTGGAGGAGAAAGCAGTGATGAAAATGAGAAAGATGTAGCACACTACAGGTCCCAATGATGCTGGATTAGTGATGGCTGACCTATATTATTATTATTATTTATCAATCTGTCACATACCTTGTCAAATACAGCTTGTCCTCCACTAACTATAATCATAAGTAATCTTCATTAGTAAGCATGATGAGCTCTGAAATAATTTGGACATTAGACCATTTGCAGAGTTTGTCTCAATGAATTAGGAAGGCACAAGTAGGGGCAATCTGCACATGAACAAGAGACTTTTGCAGTGTCCAGACTACCAGCACTTACAGGACTGTTGAGAAGGTAAGATATCTGTCACAGTTAAGCAGGTACATGCCAACTGCACAGCAGTGGGTATTCACAATTGTCAAATGATAATTTTTTAACATTACTGGGGTATCCCTTGCAGCATGGACAAAACAGATAACTGAGCAGTTGCTGTTCTTGGACAGTATTGTCTGTGTATTAAAATTCTCTGATGCAATATTAGGCAAGGAAAGACAACAGTTACACAGTATGTATGTATTAAGGTGAGTATGCTTAACCCTTTCAGGGTTTCAGCCGTACTAGTATGGCTTACACACCAGTGTCCATGACGTACTAGTACGCATAAATTCTAGCGCCTTCAAATCTAGTGAGAGAAAGCTGGTAGGCCTACATATGAAAGAATGGGTCTATGTGGTCAGTGTGCACAGTATAAAAAAATCCTGCAGCACACAGTGCATAATGAGAAAAAAAAACTTTGACCGTGTTTTTGGATTAAAACAGCGAATTTGCACTATATTTTCGTATGGTATTTATTGTTGTATTCTAGTTTTCCCGGTCTCATTGTATAGAATGGAAGACATATTACAGAAATTGAGATGATTTTGACTGGTTTTACAATGAAAAGTACCTTGAAATTGAGCTCAAAGTAGCAGAAATGTTCGATTTTTACCAAAGTTCAAAAGTAAACAAATCATTCTAAGCATCCAATTCACGTCAACTGGTGAGTCTAATCTTCTTTCACAAGTGCGCCGATATTATTTATACCATTTCTACACTAATGCAGTAGTCTGCATAACAGTAAATATTATTTTTTTTGTGAGAATAAAAATTCCAAGTGGAAAGCAAAAGAAATGTAAGAGGGGCCTGGGGACGTGACTAATAAACAGAGGAAATGTTATTTTAGTGACAGGAATGTCTTTCTTGTTTATTCTGGACCCTATTTGGAAATGGGCATCTTTTGAAATTTGTGTGAAATTGGCAAAATTGCTAAATTCTGACCACTGTATTGGATAGTTGAAATCGGTAAATGGGTGGTTTCTTGTACTCATTCGATAGAAAAATTGGAGTTCTAGCAAAATAGTTATGATTTTTGTCGACTAGTACATTGGAATTGGTCGAAAATAAGGCTCAAAGTGGGCAAAATCGCCAATGCATAAACATCGTCGAGACCACTAACTTCGCGAGAGCATAATTCCATAAGTTTTCCATCAAATTTCATACTTTTGGTGTCATTATGATCGGGAAAAGATTCTCTATCTTTTCAAAAGAAAAAATAATTTTTTTTTTTTAAATTTGGGGACCCTGAGAACAAGTCTCTGAAAGGGCCTGTGGACCCTGAAAGGGTTAAATAAGGTAACAAGCATATAGTCTAGTATTTGAAGGTTTGTTATGGTATTCGCTTGGATAGCATCATTAACCAGCACTATGAGTACTCCATGGTGTTGGATATGATAAGTACCTTCCAGCCAGCTGCTCTCATTATTGCTTGTCTGAAGCGTCACAGGGCTGAAGTGTAAGAAAATTTCACCAGGTCTGAGGTAATAAATTTTAAAGTAATCTTCACACTAAAATTTATTACTTCAGACCTGGTGAAATTTTCTTATACTTCAGACCTGGTGATGCTTCAGACAAGCAATGATGAGAGCAGCTGGCTGGACGGTACTTATCATATCCAACACCATTGAGTACTCATAGTGCTGGTTAACCCCTTCAGGGTTCAAGGCCAAAATCTGAAGTGGTGCCCCATTGTCCAAGAATTTTCAAAAAAAAAATTTAGTTATTTTTTCTTACGAAATGGTAGAGAATCTTTTTGTGAAGGTAATAAAACAAAAAGTGCGAAATTTGATGGAAAATTGACGAAATTATGCTCTCTCGAATTTTGATGTGTCAGCGATACAGTGGACCCCCGGTTAACGATATTTTTTCATTCCAGAAGTATGTTCAGGTGCCAGTACTGACCGAATTTGTTCCCATAAGGAATATTGTGAAGTAGATTAGTCCATTTCAGACCCCCAAACATACACGTACAAACGCACTTACATAATTAGTCGCATTGGGAGGTGATCGTTAAGCGGGGGTCCACTGTATTTACGAATCGGCGATTTTGCTGACTTCGACTCCCATTTTAGGCCAATTACATTATTTCAGTCGACCAAATTCTTAGCTATTTCACTAGTATTACTTCTATTCTATCGATTGAGCACAAGAAATCGCCAAGTCAACTGTTTCAACTACAAAATAAAGTGATAATAAATTGGTAATTTGGCCAATTTAACACAGTTCAAAATATTCCAATTTCAAAATAGGGTCCAGAATGTAGGTATTCCTGGCACTAAACTAACATTTCCTCTGTTCATTAGTTATGTTTTGAGGCTTTACAAATAAATTCCATTTTGATTTTTTATTCACATAATGAATTTTTATTCACACCAAAAAATAGAAGATTTACTGTTATGCAATACTGTAATAATTGTATAAATATTATCGCCACATTTGTGAATGTATATTAGACCCACCAGCTGGTGTGTATTAGACGTGTGAGGTCGTTTGTTTACTCTTGAACATCGGCAAAAATTTAACATTTCCGCTACTTTGAGCTCAGTTTCAAGCCATTTCCAGTGCTAAAACCAATCAAAATCATCTCTATTTCTGTAATATGTCTTCCATTCTATCAAATGAGACCAAGAAATCACTAATACAACTATAAAAAACATACGAAAAAACACTGCAAAGTCGCTATTTTAATCGAAAATCATGGTCTCAGTTTTTTTTCTCTCTCATTATACACATTGTGCTGCAGGATTTGTTTTATGTGGTGCACACATACCACATAGATGTATTCTCTCATATCTAGACCCAAATGTACCACTCACAGTTTATCAGAGTGAGCTGAGCTCATGGCGTAGATCTACGGTTTGGCCCCTGAACGTAAAGCCGTAGATCTACAGGACGGACCCTGAAAGGGTTAATGATGCTATCCAAGCGAATACCCTAACAAACCTTCAAATACTTGACTATATGCCTGTTACCTTATTTAAGCATACTCACCTTAATACATACATACTGTGTATCTGTTGTCTTTCCTTGCCTAATATTGCATCAGAGAATTTTAATACACAGACAATACTGTCCAAGAACAGCAACTGCTCAGTTATCTGTTTTGTCCATGCTGCAAGAGGATACCCCAGTAATGTCAAAAAATTATCATTTGACAATTGTGAATACCCACTGCTGTGCAGTTGGCATGTA